TGTGCCCAAGAATCTCCCTGGACAGATGTGTTGGGTGACAACGTTTCTTCACTTGGAATGGTCATCTCTGTGCCTTCCTTACCTTTCCTACTCATCACCTTGGTCTTGGTAAAGTTCAGGGATTACAACCTGAACTGCATTCTAGTTACACCTTAGCCACCTCATCAACTGTAGTTCATCATGCTGTTGCATCTGTCCCATTGTTGCTTTCATAGGCTCCTGTTGGCTCCAAATCTCTTCACCTAAACCAAAGGTCAAATTTGACATGTGTGTCTTCAAATCCTTTAACTATCCTGCACTCTACATGTAGACAGTCAGCTAGAAAGTCATACTGTGATAAGTGGAAGCACTTCCTCTCTTTTCTAGGTAACATTCATGTGGACTGGTACCAGGTTTCCATTAACTTCCTTCAGTTCCCATCCTCCTTAGCATCACTGGGCCTCTCAATCTCTTTGATACGGGTCTACATGGAAGCTCTCTTGGCTTTCATTTGAACCTGAGATTTTTCTTCTTGGTTTGTTCACCCTTAAGTTACACCTTTCTTCACAGTTTCTTGAACACCTTTACTTTTTGAACTCCCATTGCTCTGTCTTGGGATCTATGCTCGATTGTCTATCAATTGATGAGATGACCTTTTGAATTCATGACCTTGTGTAATTTACACCTCCTCACATGGAAGACTGAGATTCTTGTGGCCATCACCTCTGTCAGAAGGGCCAGTGAATTAGCCACTTTGTGGCGTTAATTCCACAAAGACAAGGTAGTCCAAACATTGATCAGAATGGACACCATAGTCAAGAAACCAGAAAAAGACTAGGAATGGGAAGGACAGCGATGAAAGAATTAGACAAGATCCTAAAGAGTAAATATATACAGCTAAGCACTAAAGTTAGAATTGTCCAAGACATTGTATTCCCCATCACCATGTACTGATGTTAGAGTGAAGAAAGTAGATGAGAAGAAATGTGATGCTGGAGAAGAGTGTTGAGGATACTGTGGACAGCTAAAAAATACAAAACAAATCGGTCCTTGAACAGATCAAGCCTGAAGTCTCTCTGGAAGCCAAGATGATCAAATTGAGGCTGTCATACTTTGGCCACATGATGAAAAGGCATAACTCATTAGAAAAGACAATAATGCTAGGAAAAATAGAAAGTAGTAGAGAGAAAGACCACACACTAGATGGTTAAACTCAATCAGGGTCCAGGACCTAAGAAGAGCAGTGGAGGACAGGGGGTCTTGGAGATGTCTCATCCACAGGGTCTCCATGAGTAGAGCTTGACTCAAGGGCAGTTAACAACAAACAAGCAACAACTATAGGCCATCTCAGAAATCTGAAATGTTGGAAAATTCAGTGAGCAGGTCTTAAGCCACTAGTCAACACTCTGGGGATGGAGAAGAATAATCAGTTGTGCCTGCTGGAAAGCTGAATGCTGATACATTGACATACATTCTTTTCACTGAGCCAGCAGCAGCTATCTTGCAGCTGCAGAGGCATATACAATAGCCAGTTCACCAGACTAGATTTTTGGACTTTTTGTGTCTTCCCTTCTCTCCTAAAATTCTGTTTTTCTTATCTTAATGTATAATAGAGTTCTGAAAAAATAGAATGTTTGTGCCATTTACTTGCCACTTTTATAACATTATTTATTCCAATAAACAATGTAACTCATCTGATTTTGGGTTTTACTTAAGGAGCACATAGCTTGTTTTAGAATAACTAGACTATTATTTCATTAGTAACCGGCAGGTGTCACTGTTACCATATGTCATTTTGAATCCTGGGGATAGAAAAGGATTGGTAGCTCTTGCCTTTGGTTGGCACTTCTTCATTCAAAAATGTGATAAAGTTAACTTGCCTTTTTGCTGCACCAGTATTTGGCTAAAATACTTAGAGAGGAGGGCGCAGCTGATGAGCAACAATGCTATTGTCAAATTAAATTTGTCTGGCTATTGGCAGAGTTGGTGGTTCCTAATTTAAGCGTTCCACAACATTAAGATAGTAGACTTTCAGCTCCTCATTCCTCCATCCAACTTTCTCTCCTATTCCTGTCTTGTCCCAAAGCCGTCAGAAGAATAACAAATCCTGTAGCAGTATGGGCCCAGGACAAGCTTCTCATTCATGATTATTCAAGAGATTTTATCCTGCCCTTTTCTGATTTTGGAACATTAATGTAAAGCAATAAATACAATGAACAATAGAGAAAGCAAATAACAAAACTAGTGCTCTCATGTGATATTCATGAGAATGCAGTAAAAGAGGGTAGGGTAAGGAAGAAAGTTTTAAAATCAATGTACATATGGTTTCACCATATTTGGTGAAAGCCAAAGTATATCTAGCTGATTGCTTTCTTAGGCCAGTTAACAATAATACTCATACTGCATATTCAGGAAGACTATCTTAATTTCATGAAGTTTTCAGGGGCAAGGGAGAAAAGAAATCAAACATTATATGGGTTGAACTCACAAAGCTCTAGAGCCAGCATATGCTAGAAAAGGCCTGTGTGCACTTCTTTGCTGTCAAAGATCACAGAAATATAATTTGACAACATGGGCTGAAAATAACTATCTTCTAATGAAATTTGATTTAAATCAGTTGGTGAGTTTGGCTATCAAAAGACGGCATTCAAATACTCTTACTAACAGATACTTTGCTAATAAGTAATTGTATACTTGTTGACTGTGCGATAGGTTAAAATCCATTTTTATTAGAACCAAAGGAAACCAAATACGCGCACAATTATGTGCAGATTTTCATATATGACTTGGGAAGACATGATAACATAGGGGGGTTGCAGACTGCCAGAAATAGTGCAAATTGAGTCCACTTTTAGGGTTAGGGTTAGTGCTAGGAAATCATGGGAATTGGTTTTTTTTCTGAGACATTGAGCCTTCTCTGTCAGAGAGCTCAGGTGCCACAATAAAATACAGTTCCCGTGATTCCCTAACCCTAACCCTAAAAGTGGACTCAATTTGCACTATTTCTGGCAGTCTGCAACCCCCTATAGTAGAACAATCGAACTAAATGAACAAGATGTTTTATATTTATGTTCCTAGATTATTTTGCCACCAGAACCTTTTTTAATTTTATTGTCAATAAAGGAATAGTACTATGCAAGAGAAAAGTGCATGTTAAACATACTTCCCAAATTTTTAAGGAAATAATCAATGCAAGGCTAAAATGTAATCCAAATGTAAGATTTTTTTAAATTTATATACAGTATGCTATTTTCAGCAACTAGAATAATAGAATAATAAAATCATAGAGTTGGAAGAGACCCCAAGGGCCATCAGTCCAACCCCTTTTGCCATGCAGGAACTCACAATCAAAGTTCCTGTTGAGGGTTACAGTGGTTTGTGGGCCTGACAAGATGTCCCAGGAGGAATGCTTTCTCCTTGAGGCAAAAATCCCTGATGTGACAGTGTCAAGCCTACTGACCATTACCCCTTCCTTTTGGTCCATATGGGAACCAATGATATTGCAAGGCATAGTCTTCAGAATAGCAGAAGGGATTATGAGGCTTTGGGTAGGAAGCTGAAGGAGCTGCATGTTACCTCATCTCTTCTCCCAGTTGAAGGGCATGGTCCAGGAAGGAAGGAAAATAGCAGATGTGAATAACTGGATCCGCCGATGGTGCCGCCAAGAATGATTTGGATTCTTGGCTCATGAGGGTCGACTTCCATGAGGGTGGACTTCTAGCAAGAGATGGGCTGCATCTCACACCAGTTGGCAGAAATAGTCTCAAACATAGTCTCAAACATTTGATCAGGAGGGCTTCAAACAGAGTCATGTTGGGGAGGGAGACAGTATCTTGGAAGTCAGAAGTACATCATGGGCTGGAGATAATAGTCAAAGTGTT